TATATCGTCTCTCTGCCGCTGTGCGCAGGCCCTGTGGCAGTTAGTTGTTTATCTACTGCATATGATACGATTTGATGGCTCGACTCTATAGTTTTCCCTCGGAACCAGCCATAGCCTATAGGAGCCCCAGTCACATTGTTGACTCGCAGAAGAACGTCCTTCCCTTCAGCAACACTGGGCGGCACCGAGTCCACAGTGACTCGGGCAGTGGTGGGCGGGGTCCAGAAGGTTAGGAGTGAGACTAGCAGGGAAGGGAGGGGACAGATCAGTGTTTGGACCTGTGTTGGGAGGGAAAGCGGGGGCCCGGAGACAGAGCAGGTCCTAATCCCCCAGCCTCGGGGTGTGTGTGTGTGTGTGTGTGTGTGTGTGTGTCTCCTGCTGGTCAAGGTCAGCGGCATGACCACACTACTTCAGCGCCTCTGAACTGAATTTCCTCTGTTTCCAACCCTCTTCCTCACATGTCTGTCGCTCACTCCCCCCCTGCCCTCGGATACCTGCTCCCACTCAGGGGGTCCTGGGGAGAGGCCTGCCCTGAGCGCCTCCTCTAAAGACCCTCTGTCTTCACGTTCTGACCTTTCCCTGCTCTGTTCCCCTCCTGGTGCTTGTCAGTACCTGACATCACATTCTAGATGTCTCTGCGTGTCTGTCTTCCTCCCCATAGAAGTGAGCTCGGGGAGGGCAGGGACTCGTCTGATCTGTGCTGTACCCCAGGGGTGGGGCAGGCTGCAAATCCCCGGGGCTGAATGAATGTGTCCCCAGGGCTCACCAAGTCTGGCGTTTGTCTGTTAAGATCTCAGGTTGGTGGGAAGGGGCAGCGATTAGGTTGTTAGCAGTTTCAGAATTGAGTCCTCACTGATGAGTAACTTGGGTCAGCCCTTGGCTCCGCACTTGCAGATCATGAGATTTTCCCGTTGCTGAGCCGGCTCCCCGGTCCTGCCCTGCCCCCCTGTCCCCTCTCAGAGCCCTGTCCTCCCCGGGAGACCCCAGCCAGCCTGTCTCTCCCATCCTCCCGCCCCCTCGCAGGGGATCATCCCTCTCACCTGCCAGCAGGAGCTCCTGCCAGGGGACGCGTCCTCCTCGGGGAGGGGCCGAGGGGGGCTCCATGGTGCCTGCTGCCCGGTCCGTCCCTCCCTCTGGAGGAAGAGCTTCTGCTCCAGAAACGCTCAGGAGCACTGCCGTCCTGTCCGGTCAGCTCTGCCGCCCTTCCTCCCTCTGAGCTGCGCGGCCTCTGGGGGCAGGAGCGCGGGGCGGGGTCACGTGGGCCGGGGGCGGGGTCTCTGCAGGGCCCCTCCCTCCCGACTCCCGTGTCCCCTTCTTCCCCTCTCATTTCTGTCTACATTGCGGTTCCCTGGGAACTGCTGAGGCCTCTCTGTCTTCAGCTGTGATTTCCCACCATATGCGAGAGCGCGCACACGCCCTTGTTTGGACAAACACAAGCCTGTGGCGTTGGGTCCCGGTGACCCCCACATCTCGGGGTCAAGGTGCAGGGTCAGAGGCCCCACAGCCCTCTCTCCCTCCCCGTGTGGCTTCCCCTTCAGAGCAGGATTCTGGGGGCTGCCTCAGGATCTCTTGTCACAGGGATGTCACCCCCACCGTGCGCTGGAATCACCTGTGGAACTTCATCTAGACTGTGGATGCCCAGGTGACACCCAGAAATGCTGCTTCAGCAGATGCCCAGCCAGGCTGAGACCCCATGATGTGGGGGTGGGGCCGCCTCTCCCTCTCCTGAGCCCACGGAGGGTCTGTAGATGCTGTGAAAATGCAGATTCTGACTCAGCAGGTATGGTGTGGACCCCAGAGTCTGCCTCTAAGAAGCTCCCACGTGATGCTGATCGTCCTGGCCCCGGGGAGCACACTCTGAATAGCCAGACTGAGGGGGACCCGGTTCCCATAGAGGATGGCCCTTCTCCCTACCCTGAATTGGGCTCTGCTGAGTATTGGCCTTGAGTCTGTTGGTACCACACACAGAGCCCCAGGGTCGACAAATTCAGGGGATTTATTCTGTTGTAACAGAGAATCCCAGCTGGGCACCTGTCTCCCCAGTGTTCTCACAGGTCTGGGGAGGTTGGACTGACACCTGGCAGCAAGGTCCCAGAGATGACTCTGGGGGTGAGAAAGGAGCAAGCCGGGTGATGACTGGTGAAGGACCCACGGCCCATACCTGCTTGTGCCCAGACGACCTCTGTTTCCAGGGACAGAAACCCAAGACCAGGTGTCTCAGGAGCTCAGTTCCCAGGTGGGAAGGGGGTTTCCTGCGGGTCTTGGGAAGATCAGATGGCTGGGGCTTCTTGGAAGGTTTGGAGAAGACCCTCCCTCAGGATCTGTTGGCTGAACTGTGGCCCAGAGACTGTCCATGTGCCCCTGAGCGTCCTAGGCAGCCTGTGTCTTCTGCCTGGGGGACTTTCCCATGGTCCCCTGCCTCCCCCATGGGTGGTGCCAGGCAGGGAATGGGGAGCTGTGCAGGGACCCCTGACATATCAGGGAGCTCCTAGGGCTCTAGGTAGAGCGGGCAGGACAGAACAGACATTTGGCAGGGACCCAGATGTGTCTGTTGGAGAAAGGGATGGAAACCAGGCTCCTCCTCCACTCCTTAGCCAAAGCCAACTTCAGGGTTTAATGGTCTGTGAGTTGTCTGCATGTCCCTATATCGCCCCCTGGAGGCTATGCTGGGGACTGCACCAGGGATGCTGACCAGGCTCCCAAGGATATGCCTGAGTCCTGGACGTAGCTGAGGGACTGGTCAGCTCGGGTCCTGGTCCCTGTGGGTCCTAGACTGCCTGACTCCATCCCAGGGCAGGGTGAGTCCAGGGAGAGGACAGGCACTGTCCAGAAGATTCCTGATCCTGTCAGGAGTATTGTCCACCCAGAGGGAGGTGCTCCCTCAGGAGGAGCTCTCTGTCCTCAAGATTTCAAGGAATGACCTTGTCGGGGTCTCTTGAGAGTTGGGGAAAAGGCGCTGGCCTGGGGTGCTGGGCACCACAATGCGCTGTCTCCCCATCACAGCACTGTGGGGGGATTGCATCCAAGTCATCTGTGTCCCTGTCTCTGCTCTTCAGTAGGCCTCCCCACAGGAACCAGGAGCTGGAGCGGCTGCACCCGGAGACTCAGCTGAGGGATCCCAGAGCTGCCTCTGTGAAAGGGGAGGAGACCCTGAGCCTCGGGGAAACAAAGGCACCTCCTGAGTTCTCCTGTCCCGTGTACCCAGGAAGTTCTGCTCATTCCCCACGACTCCTTGGGCTGTTGAGAAACCTTCAGGGAGACATAGGAGGTGTCCCCACAGAACAGGGGCCCTCAGGATGAGGAGTCACCCCTGATGTCTTTGGAGGTCAGTGTAGGGCTGTGAACTCCATGGGTAGTAACGGCACTTGGGGTGGTGATCCAGAATTTGTGGCAGGTCAGATCTCTGAGAGCAGAGGGAGGACACAGCTGCCCACCCAGGCCCTCCAGGGAGAGAAGTCATTCCCAGACAGAGATGGGAGGGGGTGTCCGTGTTCTGGGAATGAATGGGGTCTGATTTCTAACTGGAGGAGGTCCCTGTTGTCTCTCCTGAATCTAGGAGGGGGAAGGTCCGACAGCCTCGTCGGGCACGTGCTGGCCCCCTCTATGCCGAGGCCAGCTCCCTGCATCTGCAGGAAAGTGCTTCTGAACCCAGGTGACACGGGGGTGACATGCTTCTTTTGTGTGGTTTCCCTCACGCATTTAATGAGTATTTACTGGGCATCTGTGATGTGTCAGGCCCTGGGCTGGGTCCTGGGAGCTCCACCGAGAACAGGACAGATGTGGGCCCTGGACTCATGGGTTTCCCTTGGAACAGGGCCACGGGCAGCGAGGAAATCATGGCACTGAGGAGTCAATTAGAATCGAGAGAAGGGTCAGGAAGGGAAAGTGTCTGGTGCGTCTGGAGCATGTCAGGGGGTCTTAGCTGATGGTGGGTCACGTGGAGCCCTCCTGAGAAAGTGACCTGGGGCTGAGGCTGGAAATATGAGTGGACCTTCGCCCCTCATAGGACAGAGGGTGTGGAGGGACTAGCTGCCCATAGAGGGACAGTCTCAGGATCAGACACCTGGCTGGTCGGAGGAGCTTGAGGGGGTCCAGTGTGGGGATCCCGGAGAGCCAGGAGGACTGTGACGGGGTGAGGCCGGGGAGGGACAGACCCTGCTGGGCTGTGGGTGCTGAAGAAGGCGCCCAGGTGTAGAGCAGCGCTGCCGCCCTCTGGTGGACTGTGCAGGAAATGCGGACGAAAAAGTCTATCCAGTTGTATTATTTTAAAAAATTTGTACTTGAAATAATATTTCATATATGGATATATAATTTTAACCACTTTATTGAAGTATAGTTGCCATAGAAGTAACAACATATTGAGAGTATACAATTTAATAAGTTTTGCCACGGGCATGTGGCGAAGTCATTCCTAGAAGTCATTCCATGAAGACACTGAATATGTCCCTTCCTCTCAAAAATCTCCTCATGCCTTTTTATTATTTTCACTCCACCCCCTCTGACCCTCCTTCCCCACGTTCCTATGAAACCTTACATTTGCTTTTGTTTTTATAGATTAGTGTGCATTTTTTAGGATTTGGAGAAGTGGAATCATACAATTTGGGGCCGGGGTTGACTTCTTTACTCAGTGTCATTTTTTTAAATTAACGCATTGCTCCATGTTATTGAAGTTACAATTTTTTTTTCTTTTTTATCCCTTAGTTCGGTTACATTGAAGGATGCAGAAAGTTGTTTTTTTTTTATTCATTCGCTCATTTATGCACATTTATGTTGTTTCCAACTCTGGGCGATTACAAGGACACCTGCCAGGAACTTGTGGGCAGGAGTCTTTGAAGAGGGCGCGTGCTGTCATTTCTCTTGGGTAGAGTTCCACCCAGGAGTGCAGTGAGGGGCTTGCCGAGGAGGCACATGTTTAATTTTTTGAAAAACAGGCTACACCGTTTTCCAAAGCAGTTTTAATTGTACTTTCTCACTAGCGACTTAGGAGAGTTCCGGTTGCCCCCCATCCTCAACAACACTTAACTTGGAAAGTCTTTTTAATATTTTAGCCAGTCTACTGTATGTGAGGTGGCATCTCAGTGTGGTGTTTGTTTTGGTTTCAACTGTGATAACCGTTTTCATTTTCTTTTATCTTTTCTTATCTTATTAACACTGCATATGAAATCTCTTAATAGTGTTCCATTATATGTATGTGCTACATTTTCCTCAACCATTTGTCTTTCGATGGACATTTAGGTTGTTTCCACATCTCGGCTACTGTGAATAGCATTGCAATGAACACA